CTGCTGCCGTTCTAGTCCATTAAGGGGCCTTGAGCATTCTGGGTGGCTTCTTACAGCATGCACATGTTTTCCCACCCAGCTTTAAGCCCCTCTCCAGGCTTAGGCCGAGCTGGATTTTCAGTTCCTGTTGATATGATACTTGCCTTGGAGTTGGTGGCATTTGTGGTCTGTGGTACCTGTGACAGACAGGGGAATGTGACAAAGTGTTTCTAAATCTGCTGTGGTGATAATTTTTATTGGAACAGCTGACTAAGAAAGGAAAATGATTACAAAAGCTGGAGAGCATAGCCAGATGGAAAGGCCTTGTGTCTAAACTACATTGAAATTGGAGCTTTCGTGACAGCTTCAGATGGACATGGTGTTGGTGAGGCTGGTGGCAGAGCCAGGATGAACCCCTACCAAAGCTGCTTGTGCCCTAGGCAGCACTCGCTGTCACCAGTGGAGGATGAGGACTTCTGAGCAAACTGTGCTGCCTGCTCTGGGTGCCGTTGCACCAGATGGCGAGGACAGAGCCAGACTTGCCGTTGACTGTTAAGTCAGGGAAGCAAGAGGGAGCTGTAGGAAGGAATGTGTCCATCTGAAGGAAGGCCAGGCGCCTCGCCCTGCACACACCTCCTCTCCTGTTCTGGCCGACGGGTAAATGTGGCTGGTGGGTTGACCTATGCAATGTAACCAGTGATCCCACCTCAGAGGGACTCCGTGAGGACTGTCAAGTGCAGGTCCTCCCTCGTACAGCAAGACAGCTGGGTCGTATGAGCAGAGCTGTCACCATGAGAGCTGTCACCAGTGACAGCTGTGTGTTCTGCTGGGTAAGGAGCAAAACGGAGCCTTCACTTGCATGGGCGCCCTCTTTTCTCCCAAGGCACCAAAGACGCTCTGCTTCTAAATGTGGACAGAAGGGTGGGAAATAAAGGGTTACGCCCAGTTGAATCCCTGAGGTTAAGCGGGATGTCTGGAAGCATTTACGACTGAGTTAAAAGCAAGTGGCATTTGGAACTGAATGTGGGGACGGGGAATGTATCCTTCTTGTGCTTTTAAGCAGTCACATCTTTCGAATTTCTAACCGTGTGGTTGCTTCCCACACAACCAAGACCTAAGAATTTGATTTCTCAGGAAAGTCAGGGTGCTTCTGGTTGTTCCTAAAATATTGAGCTTAATTGTAGGCCCAGTTTCCTATGCCAGCGTATTTTTATTTTGCAAATAAGTTGGTAAAACAGTCATTATGGCAGCGGGATTTCAAAATAATATTTTCCTCTTTTATTAAAATGAAGATAAATAGCTTGCTATATAAAGCATTAGTGAATTTTCCACTTAATAATAATATAAACATTATTTTTGAGCCAGTGTAGAATCGGCCAATTTAATAACTTACTGGCTGCTATAGGCATGTTTTTTTAAAGCTAATCACATCTGATTGTCGATGATGGCGGTTACTGTATGACTTGGGAGCTTGCCTTGTGGTGTCCTGTGTTATGGCCTCCTTCATAGGAGCTCTGGTACTCCTTAAGCTGAGTAGATGTGCACACAAAATGAGTTGCAAGCACACGTCTGTGCTGCTGTCTGCAGGCTTCTGGCCCACCTGAGAGAAACACAGCAGCCCCATGATTCCCCCTGGCTCTCTGCCTCCTGCTCACACAACCGCAGGTATATGGTGACTTGGGGTTGGGCCCTTAGTACAAGGCACAGTGCTGGCTGTTAGTGGGCTGCCAAAAGAAATAGCAGGCTGCAGCTCCCAGGCCTGCCTGTGCAATCCTGTTCTGCCTGCACTAAATCAAATCCTGTCTCTTTCTCATCTTGAGATGATTTGTAGGTTGTGTGGAGTTGAAGACAAGATCTTTGGGGCAGTTTTCCAAAATTTACACCTTTTTTTTTTTTTTTTTTGCATAGTTTGTATATTTACAGCTTTGTTGCCATTTACATAAAACACCAGCTAATAAGCTTATAGTCTATCATTCCAAAAAAAAAAATCACATTAGTCGTTATTGGCAACATACTAATAGTGGTTTCAATATTTGCTTTAGTCACTGAAGTAAGCCACAGTTTGGATGCAGAATGTCCCTCCGAGGCCCATTTGGGCTTGGTCCCTAGAATGGCATTATTGGGAGGCGGTGGGAATTTTGAGAGGTAGGTAGTCCTTAGGTCATTGAGAGCATGCTCCCACAAAGGGACCCTACTGGGCCCTCCGCAGCCAGGGGAGTAGAGTTTGCTCAACTGTGTTCTCACCGTGGCGTCCTGCCTTAAAGGCATTGGGACCAGTCTGTTAATTAGCTGGCCCACCAAAACAAGACTAAACCTTTTCTCTTATTAATTAACAGTCTCAGTTTGTTAGAGCAACAGAATCAGATTAACACACAATGAAATTTCTTTTTTCTTAATACAACTAAAGCAAATGTCTCTATAGGAAACAGTTATAGTACTAAGAATAGCCAGGATATAGTTACTGGCCAAAATAGTAAAATATTTTTGAGACTATAAGGAAAAACCTCAAGAAACCTTGTGTAATGAAGTCATCTTCCTGACCTTCCCAAGGGAAGGAACTGGCCAAACTGCCTTCCTTTCCCCTGTAGGACACTCCACGGTTATTATCGGCTAGTGCGGGTGTTTTCTTTACCCCACATGGAAAGCTGATGTGTCTGGGAGGGACAGGACGTTTCTTAGCCTTACACTTCTCCTTCCTAGATACTACAGTGTAGTCTTGTTGATTTCTTGGGTCACAGATTAGCTGTGGGGCCTGATTGGATAGTGTAGGTTTGTGGCAGCACTGTTATTTCTGCTGCTGCTGCTGAGTTAGACATGGGCATCGGTCTCTTTGATTGACAGGACTCTAGAGAAGAAAGGCTAACCTGAAAAGTGAATGCCAAGAAAAACTGCACTCTGAACCTTTATAGCGTGTATGCGTGATACAGGGATACTGTGGCCAGGTTGGGCCTAATAGGATACCCAAGTTAAAAAAAAAAAAAGGCAAACAGTAAAGAAGAAGTACTGGGGTTTGGACCTGGTGACCTCACACAGGCTAGGCGAGCACTCTACCTACCACTCAGACGCCCATTCATACAATTTTGTCTTTTAATTTGGGAAATAGCCCTTCCCCATACTGGATTCAAAGAAATCATTATGTACTAACTTTGTAGTGTATGTATCTGCTTCTCCTGGTTGGTTTCTATGCTCTGAAGAAAGAGCTGCAATGTCGGGACCTGACTGGATAGCAGGATTTCTAACAGTGTTTTCCATTTGTTAGTGGTCTAAAGGATGGCATTATTCCTTCCGTTATTCTGACTTGTATCATTTTAGAAACTAGAAATTTGCCAGGCAGTGGTGACACACACCAGAAGCAGGCGGATGTTTGTGAGTTCAAGGCCAGCCCAGTCTGCGGAGTGAGTTCCAGGGCAACTAGAACAGTTACACAGAGAAACCCTATCTTGAAAAACCAAAGAGGTGGGGGTGGGGTGGGGGTGGGGAAAGGAACTAGAAATTCAACATACAGTTATTTTATCTCTTCATTTTATTAGAATTTGTATTTCAAGTGTATTTTTTATGTTCTATTTACCATGTGGGTGGATGGTATTTTCATAAGAATGCCCATGTCTAGAGGAATACAGGATAGTGAAAAAATGCTTCCTGCAGGTTATAAAATGTTTCGCAGACTGTAGGCTCCACCCAGTAGATCCCAGGAACAGCTTCCAGTTAGAACATTCAGAAGATGTTTTCTAGTAGATAGACACACACACACACACACACACACACACACACACACACACACACACACACACACACACCACAATTGGGCAGTGACAAGTTCAGAGTTTATGGAGAAAACGGGTCAGAAGCATTAGTCACGGAGCTGACTGTACAGTTAGACATTAGTAAGTGCAGAGGGCGCTGTGGTAGGATTTTGCCTGTCACAGGGAGTACGGTTTGCTTGAGGAAGTAGGCATTGTTGGAAGGGCTTCAGCGTATGAGTTACTGGCAGGTGTCAGAGCGGTTGTCTGGAAGGGAATAAGAAATTGTACTATTAGGTAAGGTGCTCATCATACACACCCAGTGAACTAAAAGCAACTGGTGGGCATTGGAGATGTGTGCAGACGTGTGTCTTAACCAATTTTGCTGGCTGTGTCTGCTAGATGCAGTTTTCTGCATTCATACGGTTTTCCTCGTAGATTAAAAAAAAAAAAAATGTATACGCCAACACAAGATTTGTGCCTTGCTTAGTTCATTCTCTCATGTATGAACCTCCTTAGAAGACATTGTCAAACACTCATTACAGCAGAACCAAGGGTATTCCTGGTCTGATTTTGAGCCTTTGGAAATAAAATCAAGACCAAAACAAACCTGGTGAGCTGTGGGAAAGAATGGCAAATACAGTGTGAACATGAGGTTTGCAGAGAAGCAGGAGACACGTCTGGTAGAACTGAGGAGGGGCTGGGAACCAGTTGTCGTCTCTGCCTCTCCACGACCGGCATCAGTCAGTTACCCATCCTTTGTGCCAAAGACAGTGCTCAAGACCCACTACCTCTCTCAGGCCAAGTGGGCGTGCGTCCCTTAAAGATTTCTCTGTTTACACAGAAGAGGGTAAGAAAGGGTGGGGCTGGGAAATGTGGCCAGAATGTAATATTTACGTGTGTGAAAGTGTTAAAGGATACATGGATTGAAGTATACCATTTTATTTTAACTTTATGGGAGTTCAGTGTGCTGATGTCCCTGCCATGTTTGCTCTCTGAATTGTGCCAAAGTGGGGCCCAAATTCAAGGAGAAATACAAGATACAGTGGCAACTGGCCTGGTGGACTGGACTTTGTTGATGAAGTATTGAGGAAACTGGGCTGAAGTCTCAGACAGAACGAGGGTGTGGGCTTCTTGTGTGTGTGTGTGTGTGTGTGTGTGTGTGTGCTCAGTGACGTTCATGTCAGAGTTTTAAAGTCGGTGCTTTGCTGCCAAACTATTAGAAACTGTTTGTGATTGTAGAAGTATCACATAGAATTCATTTTTCTTTTATTCTTTCAGCCACAATGAGAGAAAAGTGACCTGCAAGCATCCAGTCACAGGCCAGCCATCCCAGGATAATTGTATCTTTGTTGTGAATGATCAGTAAGTGAAGAGTGTCATGCAAAGCCTGTATGTTATACAGAGTGGGTTACACGGGATTGCTGCATCCCATGTTTAATACAGTAGAGCTAAACAGTGTCCTTTATCTGGGCATACACCGTCCAATATAACAGTGTCAGCTGTTTACTATTGCAGAGAAACACGATCTAATCTTTTCCTGGGGAGTGTAATTTTAGAATCTCTTTCATCTTTCATGAGAACTTAAATTCTGGCTCTTAGCTCTAGAGCTCAGGATGCCAGGCGAAAGAAATCTGCAAACTTAGACTAGTCCACTGAGTTGAGCTGTTTTCTCACCCTTAACTTTGGGGCTGTGGTAATTAACCATTTTCTATAAACTTTTGTTTGTTTGTTGCCACATCTCCACCACCTGTCCCACTATTAGTTACTTCTAACATTAGAATAATTGACATTGTAACTTGTGTGTGCGCACCTGCACATGCACACACACACACACACACACACACACACACACACACACGTTTATGTACATGCAGATGAATAGAACTGAGTTGAGGGCCTTGTGCATACCAGTCACATGGCTCAAACCCTCGTAATTGATTTTTTTTTTTTTTTAATTTTTCAGTTGGATGAGCAGGAATATCTGCAATAATGCCTATTTAGATATGGTACTAACTTACATTGGACTAGAAGTAGAAGTGTTGGTTTTATTTAAAGGGGTGTCGGAATTAAGTAGGGTAACTGGTGTCAAGCTTTTTAAAAGAAGGACACCTTTGTAACCTGGGGTGGGGGGAGCATTGGGTGTAGCAGTTTTCATGGACAGCAGGCTGTAGCGTTGGTGTTTTTCAGGACTGCTGCAACCATGACATCTGATGAAAAGAAGGAACGACCCATAAGTTTGATAAACGAAGCTTCCAATTACAGCATGGCTTCAGACTATACCGTTCATCCCATGAGCCCTGTGGGCAGAGTAAGTTATTCTGCTAATTGTTAATTAGTTAAAAGTATTAGATTCTGTTGCTACTACTTAAAATTGGAATTAGAGAATGATAATTACATTTTTATTATCGCATGGTTCTAATTATACTGGTAATTGACATAAAGTATAGCTTCAAATATAAATTAATAAAGTTTTAAAGACTTACATTTCTTTTATATACTGAGTGGAGATATTATATCAGTAATTTTGCAAACATTGTGGATGTTTGTATGAGGGCTTGGGTACTCTGTTGAATCAGCTAAACTTTTAAAGGGAATATAGTAGCCTAGAAATCACATTTCTTTGCAGACAATTCTTATACATGAAATAAGCCAATAAAAGTGGAATTGTAAGTTTTCCCTCCAAATATCAGAGAAGATAAAAACTATGAAAATGGAGGAAATCCGAAAGCTCCAACCATTAATACTACATGTTTTGTCCTGCTTTCTCCTGTTTAGACATCACGGGCTTCGAAAAAGGTTCATAATTTTGGAAAGAGGTCCAATTCAATTAAAAGGAATCCAAATGCACCCGTGGTCAGGCGAGGCTGGCTGTATAAGCAGGTACTCTCTCTCTCCGTTCTCAGATAGTGTTCAAGTGCTGCCGGCTGGGAAGGTGGTGACTAAGGTTCTTTATACTGAGGGGTTCGATTTTACTGTCTTGAAGTTGTCTCCTGTGGGTTTCAGATAATGGCTACCAGTGATTTAGGAGACACCCAGCATCCAATCTTGTTATCTGCCTTTTCTCTGTGTTACCCGGGTAGTCATACCAGTTCCCCGACCTGGTCATTGGCACATCTCATAGATGTTTAATGTCTCATTAGAGTCCCCCAAACCTGTGGTGGCCCCATGTTCACTGAATTTAAAAGTACTTTAAACCAGATTCAATAGCCCATGCCTATAATCCCAGCATTTAGCAGGCATGGGCAAGAGAGTAACAAGTTCAAGGCCACCCTGGGTTCAATTCCAAACACAAGGAAAAAAAATTTTTAATTACATCAGTGGCTTAGGGACCTCGAAGGCCCATTTCTTTACAGTCAGTAATTGGCTTTTGGTGGACCTGATAACATTTACTCATAGAACACATAGTGAATGTGCTGTGAAGTAGTCCTGAGATGCTGTTGTACCGAGAGTCGGGGGCTAGAGGAGAGCCATCCTAAAGTCCATGCTCAAGCATTTCCACACGTCAAGTTTGTAAGATGGACTCCTTGTGCATCCTAGCTACCACATATGACCCCCAGATATTTAAGTAGCTTGACACAGTTGGCCCCAGTGGCGGCCAGTGGCCTCTTGCTAAGACACCCCAGGTCTTGTCTCTCACTCCCACAGTTGGACATTATGGCACAGTGTTACTAGTGTAAGTGGTCAGTGATGGACATATGACCTTAAAATTTTTCACAGCTTCCCTGTTTGATCCAAAGAAAAAATATAATTAAGACTGAAAATGTCAGTCAGGCATTGGTGGTGCATGCCTTTAATCACAGCAGTCGGGGGCAGAGGCAGGTGGATTTCTGTTCAAGACCAGCCTGGTCTACAAGAGCTAGTTCTAGGACAACCTCTAAAGCAATACAGAGAAACCCTGTCTCAGGGGAAAAAAAAAAAAAAAAAGACTGAAAATGTCATAGACCATTCACAAGCATGTCTCCTTGGTTTTTTTGGTTTTGTTTTTTTTTTCTCCTTTGTGGTTGCTGTTCATGTTGAAGAAACATTTTACCTACATTTAGGATTTTTTTTTCTGCCCATATTTGATCTCTTTCATTTTAAGATCACTGTTATATTAGCTACAAATATACTAAGAAGTATCAATGCTGACATCTAAACGGGTATCTGGCATTTTGATGGCATCCAGTTTTCTCCAACATTCTTACTTATTGAATGCGGGAATGTAATTTTTATTGAAAGTGTGATATGCAACCCTCTATGGCAAAAAAAGAAAAGAAAAAAAAAACGTGTGATCCATCTGAAGCTGGTAGTTTTATGAAATAGATTGGTTAGCGTTATCATTAACTCAAGGGATGCAGTCGGCAGGTGACTAAAAGCTAACTGTAGAGGGGAAGAGTCTTTACTCACTAAGCTTGTCTATTAAGGTTTCCACTTAGGTTCCTTTTAATCATCTTACCTTTCAAATGCTTTCAGTGCACACATTATCTTCTTGTTGGCATGCACACCATTGCATGCATCCCTTACTCTCACCCTCACAAGCTCCCATGTTCAGAAGAGTGAATTTCAGATGACTTCAGCCTACTCTTCAGAGAACGGTCGACGTGTGACCATATTAATTAACATAATACACGTCCCTCGAACATTCCTTTTAAATTTTCTTTAGTCAGCATGTAAAAATTTTATTTATTTTTGAAGAACCTTGTGACATTTTCATACATAAAAGCATTGCGATCAAATCGGGGGCAGAATGTCTGCATCCTCAAATGCCCGTCATTTGTCTGTGGCAGAAACATTCAGTCTTTCTCGGCTTTTGAAGCCTGCTAGAGTGACCTGGCTCTGCAAGCAGCAGATGAGAACTTTTTGATGGGCGTTTTCATGAGGTTATATTACATGCATATCAAAATGTACATCAAAAGTGTCTTAAATCTGTTCTTTAACGCAGGACAGTACCGGCATGAAGCTGTGGAAGAAACGCTGGTTTGTGCTTTCTGACCTTTGCCTTTTTTATTATAGAGGTGAGTCTATCAGCTGCTCCAGTCTTACTTCATAATTGCAGTGTGTGCCAAGCAATAGCTGTGTTTTAAGAGAAAAGACATTGGTACTTTTGCTGTTTACAGATAATGCCGAGAAAACCCTTCACTGGCCCTAGAATGTAGCAAGAGTCCCTAGAGTATAACAGAAGACAGAGCAGGGCTCTAAGCAGAGTGGAAACAGGGTCTCACAGGGTGGCCCTGGCTGGTCTGAAACTCACAGTGTCGACCAAGCTGGCCTTGAACCCACAGAGACCCACCTGCTTCTGCCTCTTGAGTACTGATATTAAGGTGTGCACCACCACACCTGGCTCAAGGCTGGTGTGACTTTGGTCTACTTCCTGTATTCTGGTTTGTTTCAAGCTTAAGAATCTGCCCTCTGTCACCCTGTCTTTGAATGCAGTACCTAGCAGGTAAAGTTGTTGGTTGGGTGGTTGTTTTTGGAGCTGGCATGTCCCCCTGTGCCTGACTCTCCTGGAAGCAGTGAACCTGCCTCAGCCTCTCAGTCTCTGGGATTATAGACGTGACCATCACTGCCCACTAATGTTAACTTTGTGAGATCTAGCTGAGGGTTTATAGATTGTCCACAGCTGTGATTTTATTCAAGTGAGTGCAGTGTCAGGAATTATTATAATGGATTAGAAAATGAAAAACATGAATTATTGATAGAAATGTGTGTGTATATTTATTTTTTTAAGATTTTATTTACTTATTATGTATACAACATTCTGCTTCCATGTATGTCTGCACACCAGAAGAGGGCACCAGATCTCATAACGGATGGTTGTGAGCCACCATGTGGTTGCTGGGAATTGAACTCAGGACCTCTGGAAGAGCAGTCGGTGCTCTTAACCTCTGAGCCATCTCTGCAGCCCGTGTGTGTATATTTATACATATATGTATTTGGGTTTTGTTTTTTTGAGACAGTCTGGCTTAGTTCATGCTTCCTCAGCCTGAGTGCTGAAAATTCAGTGATCATTTTCTTCCAAAAACATGGAAAAGGTTATATGAAAGATATTCTTACTATTGACACCGAAGAAATGTAGGGATTACTATATAAATACGCCCTTCATTCTCCTTGATGGGCATGCAAGATTTCTTCTGGTTTTTCCCCTTCTTAGGAAATTATCAAGACAAACTCTCATAGTGTTGCCTAGGCTAGCCTCAAACACTTGGGTGCAAACAACCCCTCCACGTGAGCCTCCTGAATAGCGAGCGAGGATGCAGGCAGGCTCACGCTGCCGTTTGCAGAGCAATTGTATTAAGACGTCACACTTCACATTTGGTGCTTGTGGGCAAAAGAAGGTTGTACCAAGATGGAGCTCTCTGAAGGAATGTACTCCGATTATAAATGGGGAATTAGAACACTCTCCTTTAAAATCTGACTGCAAGCTATCACTTAAGAATTTGATTTGGGGGCTGGAAAGATAGCTCAGGAATTAAGAGCACTGGCTGTTCTTCCACAAGTTCTGAGTTCAATTCCCAGCAACCACGTGGTAGCTCACAACCATCTGTAATGAGATCTGACACCCTCTTCTGGCCTGCAGGCATACATGCATACAGAACACTGTATACATAATAAATAAATAAATAAATAAATAAATAAATAAATAAATGGGATAATTAGATTTGTTAGAACTGGAGAGATGGCTCGTTGGTTAACAGGACTGGCTGCTCTTCCAGAGGACATGGGTTTGGTTCCCAGAACCCACATGGTGACTAAAACAGTCTATATATGTCCAGTTGTGGCTTCTGTAGGGGAAAGAGTTTAGATTGCTGGCTTGTCACTAATAATTGTGACTGTTCTTTGCCTATAGCAGTTACACAATATGTGTTGGGTGTGTTGATTGGAGAATGACTGTATCATCCACTGTCACTACACTGGGACCTAGGACCTGTTATGCTTGTCAGTATTTGCTGTATGGAATTTGGAGCGCCAGCATTTTATACATATGTATTTTTGTTGTATTTTTTAAGGTGCACATACTTTTGTGTGTATGAGGGTTTGCCCTCATGTATGAGTGTATACCGCCTGTGGGCCTGGTACCAAGGCAGCCAAAGAGGGTATGAGATCTCCTGGAACTAGAGTTATGGACAGTTGTCAACTGCCATGTGGGTGCTGGGAATCAAACCTGGGTCCTCTCCAAGCATAACAAATGCTCTTAACCCCTGAACCGTCTCCCCGGTCCTCTTGTGTCTTCTCATTTGTGTGTTGTCTTTGGTTTTCTCTCCTGACTTTGATTTGATGTTGGATGATCTACCAGATAGCAGAACTACACTGTCTTGCTTTCAACCTCCATTTGTTTGACAGATAGATTTCTACCTTTTGATTGTCCGTCTGTCTGTGAGTGTCTTTGCGAATTAAGTGACTCTTAGAGACAACTGATAGTTGGCCTTATTTGGTCCAGTCATTCGTTTTCTGTCTCCAGTATTAGTAGTATGGGATTTGGTGGTTGACTGTTAGATATGATTCCTTCCTACCTTTTATTTGTTCATCTATTGCTCTCAAGTAATTTATTCTTTTCTTTGTTTTCCTCTGCTTCGTGTTTTTGGCATCTTAGTAGTCAGCCATAGACAAGTTTTCTCTGGCGGTGTGTATCTGGAGCTCTACGTGCTGCCTTTGTTTGGATGTCCATTTCTTTCTCTAGATTTCGGGAGTTCTGGGCTATAGTTTCTTTTTGGTTTTTTGGTTTTGGTTTGTTTTGTTTTCTCCTCCTCTTACCCCATGTATTCTTTTTTTTTTTCAGAAGGATTTTCTTATTTAAAATTATATCAAAGAGTTACATCAAAATTATATGCAATTATATCAAAGCAGCATACTGTATAAAAACAGAAAGAACAGTAGAACAGGACTAATGGCCAAGATATAAAACTGAGCAAACATAATGTAGTCGGCTAAGAGGACGGTGTGGACAAATGGATAGTCTGTTCAATTAACAAAACTGAAAAAAGTGGATGTTCACATGCAAAAGAATGAATTGGACCCTTACATCATTTGCCAAAGCCATTTTACAAGGTACAAATTATGTAAACATGAGTCCCACAGCTGTAACACACGGAGGAGCAAATGGAGGGGGAGCTCCTTGACATTGGCCTCTGCACTGACTTTTTGGTATGGGGGAGGGCTACGTTAAACTACAGCTTCTGCAAAACAGGAAGCAACCATCACGTTGAAAACTAGCCACACGCCTGATAAAGTGGTATTAAAATCGGCATCAAAGCCTTGTAACTTAATAGCAGGGATGAGAAATGCGGTGTTTACGCACTCTGTTGAGGACCCTCTCCTGAGTGCGCCCGAGTTTCCTCAATGTTGTGCTCCTGTTCATTGAGTTAGTTTCCGGTGTGGATGTTTGACTGCAGCAGACCTTGTCCTCCATTGCTGTTAGTCCTTTCTCCATAGTGGCCAAGGCTACCGATGAGGCTTCCCACTCTTGCCTCTATCTCTGGCTGGAGATTGAATTTATCCATTTGTCTGCTTGCATGTATCATCTTTGCGGTCATGTGTCGGTTTTACTGACTTTGAAATCATCCCGAATTTATCTGCATCAGCATGTTTTTCGGGTATGGCATTGTGATCTCTTGGAGGAGTGGATGGGCTTGCATTTCTAACTTGGGAGTGTGTCTAGGTTGTGGTTTGCAGATCCTGTAGTTTGGTTATTTCTTTTGATTTTCCTTGTGAATCTGCTCGCTGCACAGCCCATTCTTGAGAGTTAAGTCACCAGGGCCACTGAGAGGAGCTGACTCCCTGCTTCCGTCTGAGGCTTCTGCTCCCTGCTCCCGGCTGGAGACATTTTGGCTTGCTTCTTCTTCCCTGTGATCTTTCTCTAGGGCAGTCTGTTCTGTTTTAGATGACTCTTTTTTAATGGTGTCACATGGAGGCACCTCCTAGTCCTCCATCTAACCCAGAAGTTCCTTTTCTGATTGCATTTTTAAATTTACCTTTTGATTTTTTACAAAAGATGTGTGGCAAGGTTCTATGGTCACCTGCCAGTGATAAAATGCATATTAATCTTCTAAATATAGAGTTACTAGAGTTGTTTATCAGTCACTCCCCAGTAAACTGTGGTTGAGGGGTACTGCTAAATGAGAATTACCAAACCTATCCATTTTCATTTTGTCTCTAGCCAAATGAACATTGGCCCAGCGTCACTTGTGGTCTTGTCTGTCTCTAGTTGGCGCCAGGCTTAATGTATAATTTTCCTCATTGTGTTTCCCACTCTTGGGGAAAAGTTAAGAGCTGTCTCCAGAATTACCCGTGAGCTAGTTGTCTCTATTTTCCTCCTTTTCAGTATAAATTATTGACAATTTGGAGTAGAAAATGATAGCAAGAAAATGTTTACTATTCCAAATTTATTTCTAGAATAAAAATTTCATAATAATTTATAACAAAGGAAAATCAAGTTCTTTGTAATGGCTTTGCTCCTGAGAGGGGCATGGTTTTATTTATTATGGATGAAGGGGGGGGGGAATAGGCATGCAAAGAGGTCAGAGAACTGGTGGGAATTGCTTCTCTCCATCCACGAATGGGTCCTGGAGCATGAACTCAGCTCACATGATTACATGGCAAGTGCTTTCAGCCACAGAAATGTTTAAAACATACATAGAGCTGTGCCATGTTGGCACAACCTTTAATTCCAGCACTCGGGAGGGAGGCAGTAGTTTGGTGCTGTCAGGAGCAGACATGTCTCACTGTCATGAAAAGCCTTAGTTATTAAATACTTTAAATGCCATGTTCTGTAGATCTTTGAAGAGTTTGAAGACCATCTGTCTATCTAAATATATCTGTTTAACCTTGAAAAAATAAAGTTTTATTATAGATGACTAATCACTAACTTGTATTTTTAAATTACACCTTGCATTTTAAATGAGTTGCATAAGCACAATACCCCACACAAGAGTAGAAACATACATGTAATATAGCAAAAATAACTTTAAATTTATATCAATAAGCTGGGCAGTGGTGGTGCACACCTTTAGTCCCAGCACTCAGGAAGCAGGGGCAGGCGGACCTCTGTGAGTTCGAGACCAGCCTGGTGTACAAGAGCGAGTGCCAGGACAGCTTCCAATGCCACAGAGAGACCTTGTCTCGAAAAACCATAAAATAAAAATTTGTATCAATAAACCAAAATCCATACCAGTGTAAAATATTTTGAGATTAATAGTTGGGGTTTTTTTGGATTAAAGTTAATTCAATAATCTACCTTTTTTTAGACTTATTAATTATAAATGATCAACCGATAGCTTGGGCTTGTTTTTTAGTTCTTATAACTTAAATTAACCCATATTTCTTATCTGCCACATGGTTGTCCCCCCCCCTTTTTTTTAATGGCAAGTTCAAGATAAACAATAGACTATTCTCTCTAATGTTGCCAAGAAGAAATGGACTGGATATTGCAACTAATCCTTACTTGGTAACTGGTTTTGTTGTATATAATTTTACTATGTTAAAGTTAAAAACCTTCCTTTTTAAGTTGACAAAAGGGGAAATGCTGTGGAACAATCTCTGTTCACTGTAAATATATATTACCCTCATTGGTTAATAAGAGAGCTGACTGGCCGATAGCTGGAAGGAAGAGGTTAGGCAGGCAGGACTTGAAGACAAAAGAACACAGAGAATAAAAGGGGAGGAGCCTGAGGGGTCGGGAGGAAGGTTCACAGATGAGATAAATGAACCTCCGGGAGGGAGCAGCACACAGATGAACAGAAATGGGTTGATCTAAGTTGTAATAGCTGGCTGGAGACAAGTCTCAGCTAGTGGCTAAGCATTTATAATTAATAGTAAGTCTCTGTGGATATTTGGGGAGTGGCTGGAGGGACAGAAACGTCCACCTACACATGAGTTTATCAGCCAGGTGCACGGCTTCATTAGCTTGCCTGGTGGGTCCGTAACAGTGACAATGTGTATCAGGTTTCTCCAACATCCCCGAACAGCAAGTTCTTTGTAGGAGATGAGAGTGTTCAATCCTTTTCCTTTGTATCTGTAGCGCTTATGCGCTTGCTTTGTTGATCTGTTACTCAATCAGTCGGCTTCTCTGTGTGTCTCAGCTACTAGTAAAGGCAAACGTAAAGCTCCATAGCTTAACATATGTCAGTGCCTATACCTACACCTAAGTGCCAGTCCAAAGAGGATGGGTAACGACGTGAACAGCTGGCGCAGGGGTGTGCTAGAACACAGGGCCAGTGGTGCAATTCCCAAAGAACAAAAGTCCTAATGGAGCACTTGCTTGTATTTAGATGAGAAGGAGGAGGGGATTCTGGGCAGCATCCTGCTGCCTAGTTTTCAGATAGCCATGCTCACCTCTGAGGACCACATCAACCGCAAGTACGCTTTTAAGGTAAGGAAAGCAGCGTGTTTTATCCTGTGAAACTTTGAAAACCAGATATTGGGGCTGAAGAAGTGGCTCAGCTGTTAAAGGCTAGGCTCACAACAGCAACAGCAAAAAATAAAAACAGATACTGAGCCATGAACTATCGTAAAGAAAGTCTTTCTGTTAGTAACGTTTACATGTAAACTGTGTTGGTGCTGCTGCCTTTCAAGAGAACCTGGATTTAATTTCCAGTACCCACGGAGTGGCCGCAACTCTCTGTAACTCCAGTCCCCAGGGACGCAGTACCTCTTCTGGCACAGACACACATGCAGGTGAAATGTGTATGCACATAAAATACAATTAAAAATAGAAATAAAGTGTGTTGGTTAGTGGCGTTACAGCCATGCGTGCAGGAGAATACTGTCCTTGTAGGAAGAAGCCCATGCTAACACGGCCCAGGCTATGTTCTCACATGCTTCTCTAAAAAGCAAGCATGGTGGAGCAAGCCCAGTGCAGGACCATGGCTGGATATCTTATTGATGCGTGCTCTTCAGTTACTGTTTGGATCCTGTCGGGTGGGATATATGGGAAGAGTGCTGCAGAAGACAACTCTTCAACATGACGTGTTTGCAGATTTGCACGTCAGTGTCAAACACTCCAAGTGCATGATGCTGCCCTCCTGCCTCTGCATGCAAGCAGGCCACCTGGGTCCCCGAGAGACCGTCACTCATCCACGCATCTCCTGCTATTGCTGCTTATGAGAGTACGCTTTAATGCTAATTTGGTGGCAAATTTCTATTTTTAAAAAGATGTTCTGTATTCTTTGCTTTGGGGTTTTGGCTAAAATAAATAAATAAATAAATCTCAGAAGTGACCTGGCTTGGGTTTGGGATTTGTTTTGCTTTTTCCTTCCTGGAAAAATATATATATATATATATATATATATATATATATATATATATTCATGATGGATTTTAATGTAGAAAATTTGTACAGGGGCTGGAGAGATGGCTCAGAGGTTAGGAGCACTGGCTGCTCTTCCAGAGGACCTCGGTTTAATTCCCAGTAACCACATGGTGACTCACACCATCTGTTAAGAGATCTGGTGCCCTCTTCTGGCCTGCAGGGATACATGCAGGCAAAACACTATACACAATAAATAAATCTTTAAAAAAAAAAAAAAGAGTAAAGGTACAAATAAGGACAAAATACACTATTTAACAATGAAATGTTACAAAATACATGTAGCATTAAACATTCATTTTAAAGAATACTCAGGGCTGCACTGGTGTGTAACTTTTCCTAGTTAATATATTGCATTGTTATTATTAACTGTGAAGCTAAATGGGGAGGAAGGCTGGAGCAGGGTGAGCAGTGGGTTAGAGCAAGGCCTGAGTGTGAGGAGTAGCTTCAAGTGTGTTTATTGAAACTTTTCTCTTTGGGGGACATTTCATCTGTCCCCTTAGATTCTTAAAAAAAAAAAAAAAATACTGCAATATGAAAAGAAAAAGCGGGCTAGAGAGATATCTCAACCGTTAAATTCTAGCCTCACAACTATAAAGAAAAAGCATTCAGCAGTTAGGAGCACAGAGGATGCAGGTTCAGTTCCCAGCACCCTCCTGGCAGATCACAAGGCCTATAGCTTCAGTTCAGGGGATCCAGCACCCTCTTCTGGCCTCTGAGGAGGCTGTATGCTTGTAATGTACAGATGTACACACAGGCAAAACACCGACACATAACAAAATTAAAAGATAGTACTAATAACATAGTAGTAAAAAAGTAATAAAAGTTAGTTAAAATAGCACAAAAGTAGCCACAGGGGTCAGGTATGGTTTATAACTATTAGTTTGATTTTGGTTTTCTATGCCTTTAACAATAGTAATTACTCTTTTTAACTTCTCTTTTGTGATGTTTCTCCTAAATTTTGAGCTGCTGTATGACTTCGTTTGTTGATTTTGAGTCTCCTCTTATTGGCATGGTAAGTAGCAATTTCTGAATCTAAGCATGGTGGGGAGGCTATGTGAGAGTTTTTGCCTCTGTTGTCTCGGGGAGGGAACAGGATACCTCCAGCCCAGTTCCTTCCACTCCCAAGAGTCCAGCGACTGCTAATCATTCTGACGCCAGAGCTCACGGTCAGCTCTGACCTCACCATGGAGATGTGTTAGTCATGACATTGCAGTGAGCACTGCTTGTGGACTGTTTGTGTGCTGTATGTTTCCTGTAGATGTTAAGCCATGTGAGTTTTAAAAGGAAGTTGAGACTGTTTCCTCTTTCCCGGAGCCAGCCTTCTCCTCCCACAGCCTCTCTTGTGTGTCTTGTGTGTCTTTGCTGTGACAATGCAGTGCTGTGCCACAGTAGGAGTCTCACCAGTGTCTTTATGTTGTTTTCCTCTTGATGTTCTAATAAAAAGAACACCATAGAAGAAAACCCCACCAGTGGTCATTTGCAACCTCTCAAGCTGCAGGTGTTTGCATTTCAACTTGGAAACCTGAAAAGAAAATCTAGAAGGAAATGCCATTGGAATCGTTTGTGCATAAGTGTCCATATGCCATTTCTAAATGATGTAGACAGCATCGCTTTTAAAGAGTAAAGACATTGCCGACAAGCAGCAAGATTGCTCGCTGCTCACTCTAAGGCATACACCACCTTTGAGTTGTTTCATTTTGGCTTTTTTTTTGAGACTGGGTCTCTACTCTGGATCATGCTGTCTAGAACTCACCATGTAGTCCGGGCTGGCCTCAGAGTCATATCTCAGCCTCCCAAGCGCCATGCCTGGCTAGAAATATTATCCTTGAATGGGAGAATGTTGGCTGCACCAAATTAAAATGGTTAGAGTTGAGTGAGTGGGACAGACCCCACAGGTGTATTTTGAACATCCTTCCTAGCGCACATGTTTTTGTAGCTTTGAAGTATATGCAATTGAAGAAGCATTAGAAGGATAATTAGCGTTGTAGCTTCTGGGGTCATGTCTGCATCTACTTTCTTTGAAACTTCACAGTAATGAAAGATAAGGAGCCACGTTTTCCCTTTTCTTTTTCAGAATTGCATATCATGATAAAGTGATGGTGTCGTTTTCGCTCAGGCAGCCCACCCAAACATGCGGACCTATTACTTCTGCACCGACACAGGGAAGGAGATGGAGCTGTGGATGAAAGCCATGCTAGATGCTGCCCTGGTGCAGACAGAGCCTGTGAAAAGGTACAGCCCTGCAGGGCAGCTGCCGTGACCCCGCCTTCCGCTTACTCCCGCCTTGCAGATGCCATTGTCATTGTAGTGCATGGCTCTCTCTCTCTCTCTCTCTCTCTCTCTCTCTCTCTCTCTCTTCTTGCCCCATTGTCACCTGTCAGTGTCCCAGGAGGCGACTCTAGAATCCTAACATTCAAACTCAGTGTTCTTTCTTCTTACAGAATTACCTTTAACTTCCGGTGAGTACATCTTTTTATTACCTCAAAGCTATGCAGATTTGTGTCTTTCATGGGAGATTTTTTTTTTTTTATTCTTAAGAGCCTAAATTGTAGAATGTAATTTCATTGTGTTTTCATATTTTTAGTATTTGGGAAGTAAATAAATAACAGTAAGAAATTCTAGTGAGTTTTATTTTGTTCTTATTTTCTGGCTAATTCTGGTTATTTTGTTATTAATAACTCCAGAAAATAGTTCATAGAACATTTAAGTTTTTTCTAAATATATCTACTGCTTGATGAGTTGTGCCTTTCCTTTAAAAGTGTGGTGCTCAGATTTCTTGCTAAAGTTGATCCTAGAGTTGTTTATTTTCTTCCCTGCTTGAAGATAACGGGCCATGTTAACATTCCTCATTATACTGAGAACCATCTGCCAGACAGGGTGGCTTTTTTTTTTGCACATGTATGTGTGCATGCATGCGCTACAGTGTCCGTGTGAAGGCAAGGGGGCAGCTTTCCGGAGTCAGCGCTCTTCCTTTCAGTACACGGTTCCCAGTGGTCACGCTCCGCACCTCTGGCCCATGGCGCACACTTACAGAGTCTCAAGCCCAAAGCCAGCCTGCGCTGCATCACAAAACCCTGCCTCAAAAAGAAGCAGACCTAGTCAAAGAAAATATGTTTCTCAGATGCAAAAACAGAGGTTAAATGAATATGCTTTTTTTTTTTTCCTGAAGACAAGATTTCTCTGTGTAGCCCTAGCTGTTTGGGAACTTGATCTGTACACCAGACTGGCCTCGAACTCATAGATCCACCTGCCTCTGCCTCCCAGTTGCTGGGGAATACACTTTTTACAAATTCCTGTAATTCGAAGGTTTGTAATGTAATTAAATTTAGCTTCTGGCCAATGATAATTAAGTTCACATCAGTATGATGTGCTTTGCGCACATTTAAAGGCGTGTGTGTCTGCCAGTTAGAGGTCAAGCCATGTCGTCATGCATACAATTTCATTGCACATTTATTGGCTTTTTGGCATGTTGTCTGAAAGACTGAATTGAGGCTTTATACGATATCTGTACTTGGGGGGGGGGGGGCAGCAGGGTATCTCTGTAACCCTAGAAGTTCTACAATTTTTTATGCAAACCAAGCTGGCTTCAAACTCAAAAAGATTCACCTGCCTCCAGCTCCCAAGTGCTGGCATAAAAAGCTTCTGCGTTTAAAACGCAAAATGCTCATCCAGGCACCCAAGCATGGAAATAGAACAGGTTTTAGGTTTGCTGCTAGTGGTGGCTGTGCTGAAGGTCAGACCCAGGGCCTTCTGTGCTAGGCAAGTGCTGTACTGCTGCCGACCACAGAATTACACCGTGAGAGCTCATCGCATACTTCCCGGGTCAGTCCATCAGAGATGCATATCTCAACCTCCCCTGCAAGACCAGAAGGAATCTTGCCTTCTGAATGTGCCAGCTGTCCCCACTGCAGAGTTCTTGTGTGAAGAGTTCTTCCTTCAGCACTACAGTATGTTCATTGTTTACTGGGCACATAGTCTGTGCGTGGCCTGGAAGATGACTTTTCATTTAGCTATATAATTTTGATCTGTAGAATATTTAGTGGGACATGCTTCATAACTTTGCCCCACAAAGACTGTGGACTCTTAACAGCCTGCCTTGTTCTCTTGCTCAGAGTAATACACACAGTTAGCTCACTGTCACCTCAGTGCAAGTTCAAACTAGACTAAAGGCTTTTTGTAAAAAGAAAAGTTTACAACTTGCACAAGGTCAGAGTCTCATGTCCACCAAGGTTACTAAGAAAAGCATGCTAATTCTTCACTTGCCAGTCTGCTAACAGCAGATGTGTGACTTGAAGTTATCAATGGGCACTGTGCCCTTCTGTGGCCTGGGACCCTTGTGTTGTCATGGTAAACGACTCGGCTCCTTATCACTTCCTTTAGGAATGTGCTTTTGACCAATGAGAGAAACTTCTTCATCACTTCAAAGCTCCTGAAGAAGAAGAGATTTTAGAATAGAGGAGGGATCTAGAAGAAGAAGCATGGAGAAGTTAGAAGTAGGGCAGGATTATAGGGGACAGTAAGTCACACCTGCTAGAAGTTGGCTACAGGTGTGCCTGACCACGCGTCAGGATGATGCGTGATAGGGTTTTAAGGGGCTGCAAGTCACATGGGAGCCCCTTCTCTCTGGCCTGCCTGCCTTGCTGCCCCTGGCATGCTCTGGCTTGCGTTTGGCTGGTGTTCTTCTAATAAAGGATATCTTTATCCCAAGCTCCTTTTATTTCTTAATAGAGTAGAAAGAGAACGATAAAGAGCACAGGAGATAAAGAGTGTGACCCTAAGATGCTGTGTGAAGTTACTATAGAAATATTTTACCCCCTCTTTCACTCCTGAGCAGCATTTCACCTTTGGAACCGGGGTAGGGGCTGGAGAAGGTCTCGTATCCCTAACACTGTTCTATAGCTATAGCCCTAGTCCTTGGGATACCTGTTGTCAGCACTTGGATGGTGGAGGCAAGATGGTCAAGCGTTCAAGGCCGGGACCAGTGAGTGAGTGTTGAGAGTGGGTTAAAATGTTTGTTTCAAAAGCCTGGTGGCCTGAGTTCATTCTTCAGGACCCATGGAACAGGAAATGACTCTACAGTATTTCCTCTGCCCTCTATATGCACACTGTGGCATGTATTTCACACACATACATATGCACAAACACATACATATGCACAAACACACACACACACACACACACACACACACACACACACACACACACACAGGTAAATAATAATGAGCCTGTCAGTGGTGGAACACACCTTTAATCCCAGCACTTGGGAGGCAGAGGCAGAGGTAGGTACATCTGTGAGTTTGAGGCCAGCCTGCCTACAGAGTGAGTTCCAGAACAGCCAGGGCTACACAGAGAAACCCTTCTCAAAAAACCAAAATGATGATGATGATGATGATGATGATGATGATGATGATGATGATGATGATAGAGAGAATGAGAAGTTACCTGTGCCCACATACATCACACACACCCACATACCATACTAAATTGAGAGAGAGAAAAACAGAGAATGGAGTTTAATCTGGTTTCTCTCTCACCTTGAACTTTTAAAACATGAGTTGAAAATCTATGCAAATTTATCTCTAAGTAAAGCTTCTAGGAAATTTTTAAATACAGAAGTGAATATAGAAATTAAGAGTATTTTATTTTCAAGTAGTTCCTAAACTACTTTATACTTTTTACAGTTTCAAAATATTTCCATTTTCTTACGTTGAATTTACAATTCTAACATGTGGAGCCAAGCATGTGGCGCACCCCTGTAATCCCAGAACCTGGGAGAGGAGTCTCCCTCTGTGAGAGACCTCAGGCTGTAAAGTGTCTGCAAGGAGGAAGTTGCAGTTGCTGGGTTTGCACATACCTGTCAGTCACTCATAAACACTCCTCCTTGCACGCACTGTCAACATTCACATTTGACCAGGCCTTTGTCACTGGCATGGCCCACACGTGCCAGACAGAATACACTCACTCACTCCCTACAATCCAGCATTTAAAGCTCATTTCTGCTAAATCCATAATAGGGTTTCTACAATATGTATGGATAGTTGATGACAGTTTTTAAAATATAAGTCTAATATATTTTCTCTGAATAATTTTTGTCTCTTGGCATATTATTTCCTTTTTGTATATTCTCATCGTGTTTCAACTTTCTGAAAATGTGGGTATTTTGCCTGCATGTATGTCTGTGTACTATAAATGTGCTGTTGCTCACAGAGGCCAGTAGAGGGCATCAGACCCCCCTGGAACTAGAATTACACAGACAGTTGTGAGCTTCCATGTGGGTGCTGGGAATTGAACCTGAGATCTTTGCTAGAGTCACAGGTGCTCTTGACGACTGAACCGTCTCTTTCCAGGCCCCCCCTTGGTGTTTGGTGGTTTTTTCTCTGTGTGTGTGTGTGTGTGTGTGTGTGTGTGTGTGTGTGTGTGTGTGTGTGTATTCAGTCTATGGCACCCCAGCTCTTTCACCAAACTATACCTACAACCCTATATTTTTTGTCAGTTGGCATACAGTAATTATACATATTACTATAGTAAAGCAATTATGCATGGGACATTTCACATGTATATACTGTGTAGTGATGAGATTGGGGTAATTAGCATAGCTGTCATCTCAGACCTTGATGGTTTCTTTTTGCTGGGGCATTAAAAATCTGTACTAGTTATTTTGAAAAATCATTATCAGTCATAGTTGCCTTACAGTGCTATTAAGGTACAGCAATGTCTCCTCCTATTCAGCTGTGCCAATTATCTATCTATCTATCTATCTCTCTATCTATATCTATCTCTCTATCTCTGCCCACTCCTCCCTGCCCCTCCCTGGCAACCACTGGTATCCCTCCAGCAACCACTTTTCTGTATTTTGGAGGTCAATATTTCTAGGTAATATGTGTAAATGTGAGAGGGTATGATACTTATCTTTCTGGATCAGGTTTATTTCACCAACATAATGGTTTCTGAGATATTCATATGGCTGCGTGCGTGCGTGCGTGTGTCTGTCTGTGTGTGTCTCTGTGTGTATGGTGTGTGTCTGTGTGTGTCTGTGTGTGTCTTTTGGATCTCACAGCGGCACCACGGTGTGCAGGTGCAGGAGGCAGGAGAGTTCTGTGAGTCCCTGCTGTAGGAGGTGAGGTCGGCAACTTCCTGCAGGTTCAGACACTTAGCTGGGTTTATCAAAGCCTTCATATGATTGGCTCGGGAAGACAACTTCTCATCAGAAGGAGCTGTAGCAACTGAGTGGGAAACTCGGGTGGCCTAGACACATGGTTGACAGACCTGTCTTCTCTTTCGTAAGGGCCGTGCCAGCCATCTTTTGTTCCCATAACAGTCTTCTGGCATTGCTCAAATTCTCTGTTTACCAGAGAGGAAACTGAGGCAGTGTAAGCTTCTGTACCTTGCCCAAAGAAACGGCTAGTAAAAAATAAAGACACCAGTAAAATGAAGCCGGGCATGCTGGTACACACCTTCAATCCCAGGCAGAAGCAGACAGATCTCTGTGCATTCCACCCAGCCAGCCCTACATTTGTGACACTCTATCTTGGGGGCGGGGGGCGAAAGGTTGCCCACGCAAATATCTTGGCTCTGGTAGCTCGTAAACCTTTCTGTGACCAAATCTGTAATGTTAGCAGCCACAGCACTTGAGAGGATCACTTTAAATTTGAGGCTACCCTGGACTACCCAGTGACATCTCTCCAGAATAGAGCCACACACAGGTCTTCCTGAATATAGTTCAGCTTTTTGGTGGCATCAGATTGTAATTTCCTGTTGCAACGGCTTCCACAGCCAGACTCATGGTTGTCTCCTGATGAGCTGCTCTTCGTGACTGAAAGCCTCATTGTTACTTCAGCTGACTGGCTGCTTTAAATGGCAGGTGGTTTGACCGTTAATGGTGAGAAATAGCATTGCTGTGTTTCCAGATTTTGGCAGGCAGAGGCACATGGCGATTGTCTCAGTGGGTTTTGCCTGACTTCGTTCTCTTGCATTCTAGAGTTATATATACTGCATGATAATGCCACAGCTCTGAGGTCCTGTGCCAGCTGATGCTCCCTGACTCTGTTTGTTCTGTGAAGGTTGTTTTCCTAGATTGTGACTAAGGTGTGACATACGCCTGTTCCATCTGTTCACTCTTATTTTCTCCTCTGCTTTCAGAGTGGACAAGATCACAGCTGAAGGTGCCTCAACTAAGGAAACCAATAACATTCCCAACCACCGAGTTCTCATTAAACCAGAGCTCCAAAACAATCAGAAAAATAAGGAAATAAGCAAAATTGAGGAAAAAAGGGCCTTAGAAGCTGAAAAATACGGGTTTCAGAAGGACGGCCAAGAGCGACCACTAACAAAAATTAACAGTGTAAAGTTGAACTCTGTACCATCAGAATATGAAGGTGGCCCAGCCTGCCCACCTCCGAATGTGCTCTACAGACCCGTCAATGTGAATAGTTCAGACGGAAAAACAGGGAACGTCAGCTTGGCAGATGCCCGGGGTGGCAGTCACCCACGTGCAGGGCCCCTCGCCACAGAGGCCGATCGCGTCATTCAGAGAACGAATTCAATGCAGCAGTTGGAGCAGTGGATTAAAGTCCAGAAAGGACGGGGCCTTGAGGAAGAGCCCAGAGGGTAAGTAAGTGCCTTAGCATGACAGCCCAGTTTCTTTGATGCTGTGGTGGTGCAGGTTGGCTTCAGTTTCTGTACTGGTGTGAAGTTATGTTTGTTTCCCGCTTTGATTACTATGTCATGCTCACAATGCTCAGATATATTTTCTGTCTCATGTTTCCATGGATAGATAGCCTTGCTTTGGGGAAGAGCCAGCCTTCCTGGCCCAGGACAAAGGACAGGCTGAAGTTTTGAGGGGAGAGATAAGAGAAGATACCTTCTCTAAGAAGGATCCTTCTCCCTTCACCCCTGTTTCTCCTCTCCTCTGTGTTCTGAACTGTGAGGAACCAGTGGGAATTTGTCTCCAGCCCTGATCTGTCTTCCATTAGCAGCTTCTACAGCCTCGTAGACTGAAAGATCGATCTCCTTAAACAAGAAACCTAGTGCCAAAGTGTGGTAGCACACACCCATAACCCAGTATTTAGGAACAGAGACAGGGGGATCAGGAGTTCAAGGCCAGCCAGAGCTGCACAGGTGAAACCTTGTCTCAAAACAAAACCAAGAAATTGCTGTGGGACCAAGATTGTGGGTCAGTGTGCCTCACCTGCCTTAGCTTGAGTTCTCAGCACAACAAAAAGGAAGGGAAGAAATATCTATAATCATTCTATTGTAACCTAGTGGTTTGAAGAGAGTTCACATGTGACATGAGAGGGGAGAGATCTGGCCCCGTGCTTGTGAGCCTGCATCTCTAGAGAGCAGTCTAAACTTGAGCATGGTTCAGAGATCACCAGTGTACGTAAAAGTTACAGGTGTGAACGTGGAGAAAAGGAAGGTTCTAAGGCACTCTGTTAGTGCCAGGTGTGATGGTACATGCCTCTAATCCTAGCACTCAGGTGGCTAAGTCTGAAGACTAGTTCAGGGCCTGCTGCACAGTGTGACCCTGTCTTAATTTTAATAAAAAGAGAGAGGGGACCTAAGAGAGCAAACATTCAAGAAACAAGCAATGGCAGGGCACAGTCTCACTAATGATCCAGGCTGGCTGGCCTGGACATGGTATGTAGACTCCAATCTGTCTCCGCCTCACAGGTGCTGGAATTAAAGTACACCACCACATCCAGGAATCACAAAATACGTTACACACAAAATATAATACGTGTGTGAATGTTTTTGCTGGCATGCATGTGTGTACATTGTGTACATGCCTGGTGCCTGCAGAGGTGTGTGCATGCCTGGTGCCTGCAGAGGTGTGTGCATGCCTGGTGCCTGCAGAGGTGTGTGCATGCCTGGTGCCTGCAGAGGTGTGTGCATGCCTGGTGCCTGCAGAGGTGTGTGCATGCCTGGTGCCTGCAGAGGTGTGTGCATGCCTGGTGCCTGCAGAGGTGTGTGCATGCCTGGTGCCTGCAGAGGTGTGTGCATGCCTGGTGCCTGCAGAGGTGTGTGCATGCCTGGTGCCTGCAGAGGTGTGTGCATGCCTGGTGCCTGCAGAGGTGTGTGCATGCCTGGTGCCTGCAGAGGTGTGTGCATGCCTGGTGCCTGCAGAGGTGTGTGCATGCCTAGTTCCTGTGGAGACGAAGAGAATCTCGTGAGATCCCCTATAAGCAGTCATTTAGGTGCTGGGAACTGAAGCCTGGTCCTCTGCAAGGGCAACCAATGCTCTTGAGCACTGAGCCTCTCCCCAGCCCTCAAAACACAAAGTTTAAGCCAAGTGTGGAGTGTACCTGCAAAGCCTGAGTAAACTGGGCTTGTTAACTTTCCCAAGGCTGCAAACACACACACACCCTAGGAGGTGTTGCTCAACCTTGTCTTCCTTGTCCTCGTGCTCATTTTTTAGACTTTCACAAGAGAGAGTAGTGAAGAATACTGACGTCAAATCTGTAAGTTGTAGAGTCTGCTGTACAACACAGTGATTGAGTTGTAACAGTGAATTATGTGGTTGAAAATTGGTAAGACAGATTGGTTTGTTCATTTTTGAAACAGGGTATTACTATGTGCCTCTGGCTGGCCAGGCTAGGACCTTACAGATATCCCCTGCTTCTGCTTCTCCATTGCTGAGAGTAAAGGTTGCAGCTCTGTACCTACCCTGCAAGACCCTGTCAGAATTGCAAGTTACATGCAGTAATACACACAGTTTGATTTAGCATTTCCGTGGCGTGTATTTGTTTTATGTATATTTGTACACTGTCTGATTATTGCCTTTTTTTTTTCAAAAAAGTATGGCTTAAATGTTCAAATTTACCAGATATCAGAGAATTACACATTAGAGAAACAGTGAGATAAGACTTTTCACTTCCATATCGGCCACAGTCATATGTAAGCAAATTACTTAATGCGTGGATGAGAAAATACAAGTTAACTTTTGGATGGAATTACAAAGACAAACCATCATACATTGTCAGTAGGAAAACAAATATGTAAAATTTGATTAGACACAAAAACAGGAAGTGGTTCTGAGGGTGAAAGTGTCCAGAGGTACTACAGATCACATTCAGGAAATAATTTAGGCTGGAGGTTTGCCAAGTCGCTTCCTCTCAGTTTAAATCTCACTTCAAAGAAAAATCTTTGCCTCAAATAAAGCATTTCTTCCTTGAGCTTGAAAGTGTAGAGAGGGTAGTGGTTACCCGGAACTTATGTTTTCATCTGTGAAGTATCGGTGAGTATTTGAGGCCCCTGGGAGGGATTTGCAGCCCTTCCTTCTGAAGGCTGACAAGGGCTTTCTTTGAATTCTTGTCTTTAGCTTCCCCTGAGTGCTTGTAGTGTAACATTCTTTGCAAATGGCTCAAGGCCACTTTAAACCTTTGAAAAGTATCATTTATGTTCCTAAATAAATCTTGTCCCCAAAAAACACTTGCAAACTTTTATTGGTGAAAGGAAATATCGTAAAACTGGGTTTTGTTTGTTTGTTTGTTTGTGTTTCCTTTATGAGAGTCTTTGTTTAATAATTACTGAGACCCTGGTAGCAAACAGGGGAAGTTTCATGTCTAGTGGGATGGTAGGTCCCGCCACTCCCGCCTCCCTGCCCCGAGCTGCCTCTGAACAGAGCTGCAAAGTGTCTTTGTGCCTAGCAGAGCTGGTCATTGTCCCCTGGCAGGTCACAGGCAGCTGCTGCTGAATGGCTCACAGTGCTGGCCCCGTAAGCTGGTCATTGTCCCCCAGGGCGGGTCACAGTGCCTGCCCCTTAAGCTTTTACTTCAGAGTTAATCACACACTGCTTCATTTGAATTTCTTTGGAACAAAATCACTGGAGTAAATTGTACTTCTGAAAATCAGGTTTCCTAATGCTAGACAGTGTATAGACAAAGGTGAATTTATTTGTTAATAACTTGTTTTTCTATTGAAAGCAGCCCCCCATCCCAAGTTTCAAAGATGGCAGAAGAGCATTTTAAACTTTGTGGCCATTAGCCAAGGTGATGGGAAAGACAGCTGTCGGTAGCACATGAGGACTGGGCAGTAGAGTAAATACCACAGCTCTCAGGACAGTGACTGTGCAGAGCTCTGACGTTGCTGCTCCGCAGCTGTAATCTGTGCTCTTTGTGAGGAGGGCCTTTTTGGCGTGTTGTAGTAGATGCGCTTCCGTGTTGGCCTGCTGTGTCAAGTTACTGCTAATTCGTCTTTAGTGTTTCTTAAATGCATTGCTTTCTTCAGTTTCTGAAGCCAGGTGTGGTGGGTGAGTTGCTTCAGGGTTAGTCTCTCAGCCGGAACCCACCTGAGGATGATGGCTGGAGTGGAAATCAGCTTCCCTGGCTGCCATACTTCCTGAATGCATGACTGACTGTGGGACTAACTGCTTTTCTTCCCTAATTTCTGCCTTTTGTGTTAACAGAAGCTGGGGGAAGGGGGACCAGGTACACCACAAGGGAAAGGCCCAAATAACTGAGCTCTGTTCTGGTCACATAGGCCGCTTTCCTCTCCCTCCGCGCCCAGAGCTGCCTGGTGTTTGCTCTAAGTGCAGTGGTTGAGGGGTGCATTTCCTTCAATTTTGCAGCTTTTGAGAGGAGAGTGAAAAATGTGAAAGAAGAAGAAAAGTGAGGAAGGAAGAGAGATTCAGGAGAGATGACAGAAGGGATCAGAAGTGTTTTAAATATCAGTGAGGAATGTAACTTTAGTGCCCCAGACAGCTTCATAGTCAAATCTCTTGTAGGCAAGAAAGCAGAGTCACTAAAGGGTTCAGGTTGTTAGGAGTAAAGCAGTGCAGGCTGGGACCGCAGGTAGCTGGTCCCCGGTCCAGTGATGACCGAGGCCCCAGGGCAGTGACGGACTGTAGACGTGGGGGGTAAGAAAATAATGTAAAGAGACACAGAGAGAGAGAACGAACAGAAGAGAAATGGGGGGCAGGAGGAGACAGGAAAAGTCCCCTCTGCTCCTTCATGGGAACGGGAGGGGGGATGGGGGACCTTTCTTCTAAAGAGCCAGGGTAAATACACTTGCCATGGGTGCGCAGTGGATGAGAGGCTGGATGAGAGGCGGGGCCACGTTTGCCGGGCTTACAGCACCTGTGGCTGCTGGGTGACGAGCACATGAAGGCCCCTGCCTTCTGCAGTTGTGTGCTTCCTAAGCTTTCTACCTTCTTTATTTTTAGTTTTTTTTTTAATTTTTGTTTGCGGGTGTATTGTGGGTGCGGGGGGGGGGGGGGTTGCCAAAGATCAGTTGTTAGTCACCTAATATGGATGCCAAAATAGCAGCAAAACCTCAACGGCTGAGCTATCTCTCCAGCCCCGATGTCTCTAGTTTCAGTTAATTCATTATGACAGATGAATAGTTTGAATATTTTTTCATATATGACATACATGTCTTTAGCAGATTTTTTTAAAAGAAGGGATTTTTTTTCATTTAAATATAAATGTCTGGAAATTGCTGGTATAATGAGTACTAGAGGTAGGCTGCCCACGTATTCATTCACGAACACTTTTCTGTGGTGCTAGACATTAAAAGGGTATGGATATGATAACCTGGCTGGCCTGGAACTCACTGTGCAGACCACACTGGCCTTGCGCTCACAGAGACCCAACCGCCTCTATGCCCCAAATACTGGGATCACACGGGTATGTGCCTTCCCTCCCAGGTGTCCCTAATCTGCCTGTCCCACCCACGTTGCAGCCACATGGAGAAGGTATAGTCTACTTACTGAGAGTTTGTCATTGGATAACAGTGATATAACTTTATACACCAAAAGTGACTGACGGAGTGTGCCTCATAGCCCAGTAATCACCCAGTCCGTTACTGTAGGTCACAGTAAAATCTGTTTGGGGGACTGTGTGTTTTGTTTTTGTTGTTGAGATAAGATCTCATTGCAACCCAAGCTTCCTTAGACCTACCGCATTCCTCCAGAGTTCAGAGACTTGCCGTCACACATGCTAAGTAGTATTTGTGCATTGCTGTCAGTAAAGGGTCTGTGTCAGAGATCTCTGCAAGAGCCAGAGAGGTAGCTCAGCAGTTAAAAGTACTTGCTGATTTTCCAGAAGATCTGGGTTCAGTTCCCAGCGCCCATATTGGGTGGATCCCAACTGCCTGTACTCCAAGGAGTCTGACACTCTTCTGACTTCCATGTGCTCAGCTCACACATAGTGTGTTCTCTCTTTCTCTCTCTCTCTCTCATACACACACACAATAAATTTTTAAAATACACCTTCACCATTGGCTTCCAGTTTATCAGGCAAGGATTCAGATGATTAAAAGTAAAGTAGGGGGCCTGGCGCACGCCTTTAATCCCAGCACTTGGGAGGCAGAGGTGGGCGGATCTCTGTGAGTTCGAGGCCAGCCTGGTCTCCAGAGCTAGTGACAGGATAGGCTCCAAAGCTACACAGAGAAACCCTGTCTCGAAAAACCAAAAAAAAAAAAAATCAAGTAGGAGCTGGAGGGGTGGCCCAGCAATTAAGAGCATTGACTGTTCTTCCAGAGGACCTGGTTCTGTTCCCAGACCCACTCGGTGGCTCCCAGCCATCTGTACCTGCAGTTCCAGGGGTCCTGTGCCCTCTCTGTCTTTCATCTTCACTAGACACAAAAATGATGAACATACACATGCAGGCAAGCACACTCATACATATAAAATAAAATAATTATAAATACATGAGATATTTTAAGAGTAAAGTAGCGTCTGCCTCAGTCTTCACCCCCAAACATTTAACAGCCAGGAGAAGGCAGCAATAGTAGATGCAGTTGTGCCCCAAACACCCCGCTGTGCTCTGTGGGAACGTCCGGCCCTTGGAAGACGGGCGGAGACCCATTCTCGGAGCCCTCCTTCCCATTCCTGTTTCATTGAATTAGAGTAAAACGCACCACAGAACAGTCACATAAGATGAATACTTGAAATTTAGTCTGTCTTACTCTGTTTTGTTTGGTTGCTTTGGGTGTGCACTTTGGGGGCTTTTTGTTGTTTTTGTTTTTTGTTTGTTTTAAGGCAGGGCCTTACTGTCTAACTAGTTGCACAGACAAAGGGAAAGACTTGAGGTTAATTCTTGAATATTTCCTTTTTAAGTTTTATTTATTTATATCTTGGCAGTTGGGTTTTGTTTTGGAGATGGTTTGCAGAACAGGTTGTTTTTTGGTTTTAGGTTTTTCAGGTTTCTGTTTGTTTAAGACAGTCTCACTGTATAGACCAGAACTTATGGAGATCCCCCTGTCTCTACCCATCAAACTGTGGATTTAAAGGCTTGAATTTTCTTATTTTCAACTGAAGTGGGGTAAATAGTTCTTTTGCATCAAACCAAATACATTTTGTGGAACTAAGTCACACACAGTTGCCACAGACTGTCCATGGCCTACATTACAGATAAAATGCCATTTGTAAGCCCTGGCTTTTTAATGAATTACATGTCCTATAACATTTTAGCCACTGGTTCTCCTTCCCTCCCTTTTCTTCCTTCTCTTTGTCATGTACTTTATGAGGTTCAAATCCAGGACTTTGCACATTCGGAACAAGTAGTCTGCCACTAAACTATGTCCTTTTAAAAAAGCCTGAAACGTATTTACTTATCAGAGCAACCAGAAATACAGTGTTGCCTATTAAAGCTGCAAAAACAGCTCTCTCTCTACAGATTTTACTACATCTTTTTTCATTTTTGCAACTTCTTTTTAATTTTAGAGTAATTTCTTATCAAACATTGCCAAGGAATATGCCAAGCCACCGAGCCCAGGTTGTGGCCCGCTACCCTGAAGGTTACCGAACACTCCCAAGAAACAGCAAGACTAGACCTGACAGTATCTGCAGTGTGACCCCCTCTGGCCATGAGAAGACTGGGCCTGGAACAACGGAGGAGAAGAGGCGGTCCATGAGGGACGACACCATGTGGCAGCTGTATGAATGGCAGCAGCGCCAGTTTTACCACAAGCAGAGCACCCTTCCTCGGCACAGCTGCCTGGGCAGCCCCAAGCAGCCCCTGGTGAAGGTCTCTGACCAGACGATGTACTCCATCCCCACCTCACCTTCCCATGGGTCAGTGGCTGCTTACCCGGCATTCTCCCCACAACGAACATATAGGTCGGAAGTGTCCTCACCCATCCAGAGAGGAGATATCACGGTAGACCGCAGGCACCGGGCTCATCACCCTAAGGTAAAACAATGATGTTGTGTTAACTCACTGCTTAAGAATGTTGTATTTTCTTTCTAATACATTGCTTTAGAGGAAAGAGAATGGGAAGTTAACAAGGCTGTTTTTGTCTTAAAACTTAAAACTCTGGCAAAATACCATGTGTAGAACCTAAGCTTTTCAACAACTCCAGTGATGCCTTTATTTGTTGTCGTGGTGTTTTGTGTGTGTTTTTGGTTTTGTTTGTGTGTGTGTGTGTGTGTGTGTGTGTGTGTGTGTGTGTGTGTAGCCAAGTGTTTTACATTTGAAGTTTCTCTCTAGTGCTTTTAATTTTAAATGGGATCCCTGTTGAGTTGCCCAGATGTTCCTGCCTCAGTTTTTTTAATAACCTGGATTATGGGTTTGGACCATGTTTTACCTGCTCTTCTATTGCTAAAACACAATAACCAAGGCATCTTATTGAAGGAAGGGTTCATACTTACAGTTCAGTAAGAGTCCATCACTGTCACAGTGAGGAGATGGCAGAGGCTGGCATGGAAGCAGAAACAGCGGTGATGTCATATCTTAAACAGCAAGCAGGGGGAGGAAGCAGAGTGGTAATGGCTGGTGGCTTTTGAAACCTCAAAGCCCATCCCCAGGGACATACTTCCTCCAGCAAGACCAGACCTCCTAAACCTACCCAGGCAGGGCCACTCACTCAAGACCAAGCATTCAAATGCCTGAGACTATGGGGCACATTTCACCCAAGCCACCACAGGACACCACACCCAGCAAAGGGTTTTTTGTTTGTTTGTTTTGTTTTGTTTTGTTTTGTCTTTTTCAGACACATTATTTGTTCTTCACCATCTGAGGACATACCTTGTTCTTGTTATGCCCTCCCCCCTCCCCATAGTAAGACTCAAACCCACCCTGTGTGTGCTCGGTGAGTGTTCAGCCACCAAACCACATCGCAGCTCACGCTGGGTTAGGGGAGAGTATGTGTCCATAGTGTGCATAGCCATGTGTGGGAGCCAGAGTTCAGGGTTGAGCATCTGCCTCTATCGCTCTCCACCTTATTTCTTGAGACAGGGTCTCTCACTGAACCTTGATTGGCTAGCTGCTGGCCAGCCGCTGCTGCCCAGCACTGCCGCCACACTCGCCACATTTTACATGGGTGGTAGTTTCAGAACTCAGCTCTTCCTGCTTATACAGCCAGCACTTCACCCACTGAGTCATCTCCCCAGACTGCTGTCGCTCATTTCTATTGACTTGGGGGTTTTTGTTGGGTTTTTTTTTTTTTTTTTTTTTTTTTTTTTTTTTTTTTGGTTTTTGGTTTGGTTTTTTTTGTTGCCAACTGTGCCTTTTTTTTTTTTTTTTTTTTTTTTTTTTGGTTTTTTGGTTTTTTTGTATACTTGCCAACTGTGCCTTCTCCCTGGCATGCCTGCAAGTTCACTTTATTCTTGGAGACCAGCCTGAGCTGCATAGCAAGAACCTATGGCTCTGCAAACAATGCCAAGAGGAATTATTGACTTTATATAGTCACAATTAAGAATTTTGTCAGGTCAGAGGCAAGTGGATCTCTGTGAGTTTGAGGCCATCCTGGTCTACAGAGTGAGTTACGGGACAGGCAGGGCTACGGATTCATGCCTACAACTCTAGAACTTGGCAGGTGGAGGCAGGATGCTAGGAAACTCAGGTCACCCTCAGCTGCGTGTCAAGTTTAAAGTCACCCTGGACTATACTATAACCTGTGTCAGAGAACAGGGCAAGGTGTCTGATCCCTAGAACTTGCATTAAGAAAAACAAAAGCTGGGCATCACAGCACAGACTTGTCATCCCAGTACTAGACAAGGAAAGGCAGTGGATCCCTGGGGCTCATGGGCCAGCCTAGCCTTCTTGGCAAAGTTCCAGGCCAGTGAAAGATCCTGTCTTGAAAATAAAAAAGGCTTGCACGCATACAAAGGATCACCTTGAGACACTTTTTAAACAAGATTTATTTGTTATGTATACACTGTTCTGCCTTCATGTATGCCTGAAGGCCAGAAGAGGGCACCAGTTCTCATTACACATGGTTGTGAGCCACTGTGTGGTTGCCGGGAATTGAACTCAGGACCTCTGGAAGAGCAGTCAGTGCTGTAACCTTTGAGCCGTCTCTCCAGCCCCACTTTTAAATCTTTTTTTTTTTTTTCTTTAAAGAGAGAGTCACACTGTATAGTCCAGCCAACCCTTAAACTCCACAATCTTCTTGCATCACCCTCCCGGCTCTGGGATTGCAGGGGTGTACCGCCAGCTTATCTTCACAGAATCAACCTTGTCACACATGGTTTTCTATCCTTTGCAGATGAACTCTTTTTATTACCACATTATGCACAGCCAAGAGATGAAAGTGTGATAGACTAAGGGACATTAGCGAACGTGTGTGTCAAGGGTTCACTGATTGACATTTAGGTGCCATTTTTGCTAGTGAGCTTTAAGAACGTGCCACTTTATTGAGCTTAGCTACAGATCAGAGATGAATGTCTACATTTACCTGTAAGAGCTTCAGGGTATCCACTGTCACCAACTGCAAATGCCACAGGTGTGTTTGGTAACATACAACAGAACAATTGTCGTAGCAGAGTGATATGAAAGCAGGTATGAAAAACCAGCTAAACTTGCAAAGCTGTCAAACTGCACTGATCCTGCCACTAAGTTTTTTCTGTAAAGAACATGAAGCAGGGCCACTGAGACGGTGGAGTAGGGAAAGATGCTTGCTCTGGAAGCCTGGCAACCTGAGGTCAATCCCCTGAGCCCACATAAATTTGGAAAGACAGGGCCAGTGCCACAGAGTTGTCCTCTGACCTCTATATATGCCCCATCCACACATGATGCACAAGAATCATAATAGTAAATATAAACTATGTAGCTAGAGGTCCAGGCACAGTGGTTCATGCCCACTATGTGTAGTACTAGGGTAGTGGAAACTAGTAGATTAGGAGAGCAAGTGTGAGGCCAGCCTGAGCTACATGAGGTCCTGTCTAGGGAAAACAACAACAACCACACGTGCACACACTCACACACGCACACACACACACACAACACACCACGCTCCCGTGCATGCACACGTAGTCTGAGTGCTGCTGAGCCCCTCTTCCTAGAATTAACTCTCTTCATTAGCATCTGTCAAGTAAGGAATGTTGGTATGTCTTATCATAAACACTAATGACAATTGTAATTGGTATTTTATAATGTAAATATAAGATTACTCATCAATAACATTGAAAAAAGGTGCCCACCGAATTATATTTATCTTTGTTTCCTAGCATGCCTATGTACCTGACAGGCGGTCAATGCCAGCTGGCTTAGCTTTACCGGCTGTTAGTCCTCAGAGCCTCCAAGGCAGAACGGTGAGTGTGATAAGCTTACTTATCATATGCCTACTTTATTTGCTGCCCAGAAAGGCATGAAGCTGACGTGGCTTTTCAGTGTGAATTTTCAGACACCATCTACAGAAGAGAACAGCGCTACTTTTGTGACAAATACCCAGCAGCAGAAGAATGTAGATTCATAGCCATACTGATGCCTTTTTGGCTGCCTTTCCCTAAATGCCCAAATAAAGGAGAAAGTTTACAGTTTACTATTTAACTCTGGGTTTTTGATTTATTATCCCCTTTATCTTCAAAATTAAAGCCAGGCATGGTGGTACACAGAAGGATGCCTGTGAGTTGAGGCCAGCCATGACTACCTAGCATACAAGAGCTACATAGTGGTGGGTTTTTTTGTTTGTTTGTTTGTTTGTTTCTTAAAAGCCCAAGTAGCTGAGTAGTGAATGCTTGCATAAGATATGCAAGACCTGGATTCAAGCCCAGACACCCCTACACCGGAGGTTCTCAACCTGTGGGTCTCATATTACATATCCTGCATATCAGGTATTTACATTATGATTCATAACAGTAGCAAAATTACAGTTCTGAAATGGCAACAAAAATAATTTTATGGTTGGGAGTCACTACATGAGGAACACTCTCAGCACAGACTTTGGAGTGATAGTGGGACAAGTCCAGCGAGCATCTGTCTGGCCACACAACAGACCTTTTCCCTGTGAGATTATTTTATTCCAAGACCAAGTCTTGGTATTTATATATATCAAGATGTATTTATATATATCAAGAGCCCGGTATATATCAAAAACCCCCCTGGGACTCTTACTTTTCTTCTCGCTCAGCCTCCTTGGTGTTGGGATTATGTGAGCAGACTGCCATACTTGGCTTCTCTGTGAAATTTAGTATGAATTAGCCCTTTAGAGCCAGAAATACACTGATTTATGGATTCACACAGAGAAAGGCTCTACCATAGTCAAAGTTGTCCGTGACGGCTCACACCTTTACTACCAGCATTCTAGAGACTGAGACAGGGTTGCAAATTGGAGGCCAGCCTGGGAGACAGGAGGGAAAAAAACAAATAGAAAACCACCGCAAATATATTTTCTATTATTCAAATTTAGAATTTAATATCAGTTCCTGAAATCAGAGAAAACAGGTGACTTTCTCTTTGCTGCAGCTTGGTTTTTGCTCTTGTTTTGTGCTTGCTTTGATTTTAGGCAAGGTCTTGCTCTAACAGTCTCCCTGCCCTAGCCCCTGGAGTTACCATCACTGCTGGAATGCCTTTCTCTGGGTGACTCTGTTGTCAGTAGATAGTCTGCTGGCTTGAGGATGTGATTTTAACACCTGTAGGATTGTTTATTATTATTATTACAAATTTTCTTCCTACAGTAATCAAAACAAGCTCATGTCTTTTTTATAAATGTTTTGCTTCATCTTACACATTTACTATTATTACTATAAGGGAATAGTTCCTGGATTTAAAGTGATTTAAAGTGATTGCAGTTTGTTTACTAGAACTGTGAATATATTTTATTAAAAAAACAAGAACTAGGTTCTAGCAGCGGTGGTGCACACCTTTAATCCCAGCACTCGGGAGGCAGAGGTGGGCAAGATCTCTGAGTTCCAGGACAGCCAGGGCTACACAGAGAACTGTCTCAAGCAAACAAACAAACAAACAAAAACCAACCCAAGAACTATTTATATTAGATTGTGGTTGTGACAGAGCATGCGGAGGTCACAGTAACTGTCAGCTTTGCTCCCTCTAGTGGATGTTCAGCATCACATTTATTTACATGGCCAGTCATGCCTATTTATTTGGCTTCAGAATGAGAATATATAAGCTAACTTACAGCCTCCTGTCCTTTTGAAAATGCTGTTGTTGTAGTCCATACACTAACTAATTTGGGTTTTCTGTCAGTCAACCTGAGGTTTAGAATAGCCCACTCTACCAAAAAAGAAAGAAGAGAGTGGAGCAGTCCCTTACCTGCCCACATCTCCTTGGCCAGACCTTAGGAACTGAACTCGATGGTCAGGAGATAAAGCCTGTCCCCGAGTCGTGCGGTCACCCCCCAGTCATGTAGTCCCAGTATGCTTTTTTGGGTTGGGAACAAAAACATTTGGGCTTTTTTTTCCCCCTACTTAATGTAGTTTGAAGTCACATGATCACTGAACACTGCTAACTATAAAAGCCCTCTGCCTTCTCTTTGTCCGTGCCCACCTTCATCTGAGGAGTCGGGGAAGCTGTAGTTTACTTCTGAAGGCAATGCTCGGCAGCACCCTGCCCCCTTGCCTCGGGCCCAGGGGGAAGAGCCCCTTTCCCCACCCCTTACAGTCCTTAGACAAAGCCTAGAGAAATAGCTGCTGCTGGACCCCTTTGTGCTCTGCTCTGCGGTGTGGAGGGGCTCACGTGCTGGCTGTTGACATCTTTCCTCCTCTGAGGGGCAGCCAGAATCTCCTGTTTGCAGAGTGTGTGTGCAGCAGCAGAGGCTAGGGGTATGCCCAGAGCAATATTTGTTTTCCTCTCCCCCCAAAAAAAAACAATAAAATTGACATTTTAATCATAGAAATGCCGTGGACGCTCTGTTGGTGCCCCTGGGAAGTGTGACTGGCCTCACACACCGAATCTTAAGAGTCTGGAAATGACACCCAAGTTTTACGAAGTGTGACTGGCCTCACACACCGAATCTTAGAGTCTGGAAATGACACCCAAGTTTTACGTTTCTGAAATGTAATTCTTGTGTTTACTTGTTCTTTGCAATCGTTTTGGATGGGCCAGCATTGTTGTGTTGCTGGAAGAGTCTTGGGTGTGGGTTTAACATCCCGATGGCATCTGTGAGGAGCAACTTAACAGTTCCCTGTGCAAAGCTTTATGGTGGGTGTGTGCTTTTGATGCTTGACATTGAAATTCCTCCGTGAGTTCTGAGAAAATGCCTGCCTGTCGTGTTGTTTTGCTGTAAAGTAACACTATTCCTTCTGTCTCTCTAGATGTCTATGCATAAATGTAGGACCCCTCATCATAGGGCCTAGGCGCTATGATGCCAACCGTAAGAGGAAACTTGCCAAGAAATCTTGGTTTAATAGCTGTCACTTAAGACAACAACAATTAATCTGTTTTCCACTGTTTGGATTCTTAAATTGTACTCCTTCAGCCAGAGGAGCTTACGCTGCTGCTAATAAAGCTGAGACGGCAGCAAGCGGAACTGAGTAGTATCCGGGAGCATACCTTAGCACAGCTCATACAGCTGAAGCTCGAGCCCCACAGCCCAAAGGTCAGCTATGGACACGTGCGTGCCGTCTGCCGCCATCGCCACCCACTTACTCATCCATGCACTCTGTGTCCTTGGTGTCAAGCATGAGCCTGTACCATCATCACGGGAACCTCACAGTCTCCTATTGACCCTTTGAGAATTCAGCATGTCTAACTGAGAAAACACAGAGAGGGAGAACAAGTTTGTTTCTCCTTTTAACCTTTGACTTAGCCAGTCCGTCGGGAGGAGGAAGCAGGGAGCCACACTGAGGTCTCAGGGCAGTGCTGCTGTTGAGTAAAGTGCTTTGACTTGCACGTCTGATAAAGCAGGTGCTGAAAGCTTATGCTTTCAAATGAAGCAGAAAGTCGAAAATTCACTGAAAGCCTCATGTTCTTACGGGGTGGGTGGGGGGTGGGGGCTGAACGCGAAGTGTTTCTCAGCTCACACGTGTGATCCCAGCACTCAGGATGTGGTTGGTACTGGAGGGTCAGGAAGTTGGGGGCTGGTCTGAAATCTCTCAAAGGGTTAATAGCCTCTGTGTGGGGGAGAAGGGAGGGCTGCAGTCAAAGGGTTAATGGCCTCTGTGTGTGAGAAGGGAGGGCTGCAGCAGCAGCAAAGGTTGGGCGTGTGAGGCCTCTGTCTGTGTCTGTAAACCATTGCAAGAGGCTCCCTACGGTTTTGCACACTTGAGTATGTCATCTGTATGCTGACGGCATGTTTGTGAAAGTTGTGTGCTGTGGTACTGCGCTGTTTTTCTTATTGCCAACTGACCTTTTGATGACTTGCTCTCTGTCCCTCTTTCCTTGACTGATGGCCACTAGAATGAAATTCTTTCTCATCATCTGCAAAGGAACACCATATATTTGGATCACCAGGTGGGGTTTGTAGAATTTTCTTACTATGACACAAATTAGAACTTACGATGATACGACAGTTTTTTATGGCTACTCAAGTATCTTGACCACTTTAATAACGTGACTTCTGCAAGCAACAATGAAGACAAGGGGCATTTGTGAGTGTCAGTGGAGAATACAAACACTGAGTCACCTAAGATTGAGAGCCATGTCCTCTGTGTCTCTTCCCTTATATCTCATGAAAATTCTCAGGTCCTGAGGTGTATCTGAGCTTGGGGGCAAGCAGGGGAAGAATGAACACTGTGGATGCCCTGCTGGCAGTTGTTGAGGGGAGCAGTAGTGTTCTGAATTCCCTAAGCCTGGTGCTGTCTCCCCGCACAATTTGGTCTTTGCCCAGTAGGCAGAGCCTATTTCACTGGGCTTCTCCCCATTGCTTTAGTGGCGGGGGACCAAGAGGAATGATTACAAGTAAAGTGAAAGGCATGGTGACTCCTGTTTTCCTGGGCTACAGACAGACCCTGTCTCAAAAAGGGAAACACACCTTGAAAAGTGAAAAGTATCGGTAAACCAGGATTGTCCCAGATTTTACTTCTTAGGCACTTTGAGTGTCTTTTTAATGGGCCTTATGAGTAAAGTCATTAATACAGATCAAGGTAAACCTTACTTTACTTGCCTTAAAATGTGTAGATTTGGATTTTTTTGATTTTTGAGACAAGATTTGGACATTTTATCAAATAAAGTTCCTGTCGAAATGGTTCTAAGACAGATGCTGGCATCTTTGAAAGGAAACAATAAACGCAGCTTTATAAACACTATATTAAAAAGGCTTTATGCCAGGGATAACTCGGTGTTGGCACGTTCAGTCATTTTAATTTTAAAAAGCACACTTTCTTAGTGTGTAACTTACATACCTCCCTTTCAT